ATTGCACATCACCCCTGCTCATTGCACATCACCCCGCTCATTGCGCATCACTCCTGCATCATTGCACATCACCCCTGCTCATTGCGCATCACCCTGCTCATTGCACATCACCCCTGCTCATTGCGCATCACTCCTGCTCATTGCACATCACCCCTGCTCATTGCACATCACTCCTGCTCATTGCACATCACCCCGCTCATTGCGCATCACTCCTGCTCATTGCACATCACCCCTGCTCATTGCGCATCACTCCTGCTCATTGCGCATCACCCCTGCTCATTGCACATCACCCTGCTCATTGCACATCACCCCTGCTCATTGCACATCACCCCTGCTCATTGCACATCACCCCTGCTCATTGCACATCACCCCTGCTCATTGCACATCACCCCTGCTCATTGCGCATCACCCTGCTCATTGCTAATCACTCCTGCTCATTGCTAATCACTCCTGCTCATTGCTAATCACTCCTGCTCATTGCTAAATCCCCACAATCACTCCTGCTCATTGCTAATCACTCCTGCTCATTGCTAATCACTCCTGCTCTTCGCATCACTCCTGCTCATTGCACATCACTCCCTGCTCATTTGCGCATCACTCCTGCATCATTGCACATCACCCCCGCTCATTGCGCATCACCCCCGCTCATTTGCACATCACCCCCGCTCATTGCGCATCACTCCTGCTCATTGCGCATCACCCCTGCTCATTGCGCATCACTCCCTGCTCATTGCGCATCACCCCTGCTCATTGCACATCACCCCTGCTCATTGCACATCACCCCTGCTCATTGCGCATCACTCCTGCTCATTGCGCATCACCCCTGCTCATTGCTAATCACTCCTGCTCATTGCTAATCTCTCCTGCTCATTGCTAATCACTCCTGCCTCATTGATAATCACCCCTGCTCATTGCTAATCACTCCTGCTCATTGCTAATCACTCCTGCTCATTGCTAATCACTCCTGCTCATTGCTAATCACTCCTGCTCATTGCTAATCACTCCTGCTCATTGCTAATCACTCCTGCTCATCACGCACCTCTCTCTTCTTGGTGTCGATGCCAGGAGCAGGGTCCGTGCTGTTGACTGTGAGCCTCTCCAGGGCGAACACGGCGCCCTCCACTGCTGCCTCAGCGCCCGCAGCATCAGAGGGCTCATCTCCCTCGGGGATGGGGGCGGGCACGGGGGAGGAGGGCGTGACGGCAGCGGGGCTGGCAACGGGCTGTGGTTCAGGCGTGGAGGATGGTGAGCGAGCCGTGGCTGCGGGCGATTGCACCTTGGGGATGGAGTATGCTGCTCCTCCACCACCTGCTCACACGTGATTGGGAGACACAACCACTTGATAAAAGTTTGCCCCTGTCCCCACACCTAGTGATCCTGTTCGACCAATGGATAAAGTGACCAATGCATTTTCAAGTTGACTGACTTTAAGCCATGTTGTCGCGCCAGCCGAGGAAGTGTCAAGTGGTGAGAATGATGGCGACAAATCAACATGACCAATCCAGCACACTGGGCAGAGACATTGCACCATGAAGCAAGAAGCGCCACTCACTCTTCCTCTTCTCCGCAGTGAGAGTGCCTGAGAGGGCAGCGATGGCAGCGGCTCGCTGAGAGGCAGCGGACATGGGCGCCGCAGCCTCGGCAGCAGGAGCAGGCTCAGGCGTAGCCGGGGGCGCAGGTGCGGCAGCAGCAGGAGCAGCAGCGGCAGGATCAGGCTTGGTGGGCACCCCCTTAATGGAGCCCTTAAGGGCAGCCATGGCTGCTGCCATCTGAGAGGATGCAGAATCCTTGGCAGCGTGTGCCGCAGCAGCTGCAACAACCTCTGCTGGCGGGGCTGCCGTGGCGGGCTCCGCATCTGCTGGTGCCGCTGCTGCAGCTCCAGCAGCAGCGGGGTGGGATGATGCTAGGCCAAGTGTTGCCAACTTGCGCTTGGCAGCCTGACAGAGATTCAATAAGGCGAGGAGAAGGTAGAGATCGGTGGAGAAAGACGGGGATTGGATGCGCAGAACAGGGACATATGCTGTGGGGTATGTATGAGAGACATCTTGATGGACATGGCACTATCAGAGCTTTCAACAAATCCAGCTGGCAGCAGACAGCCGTATGCACACGAGCATCCCATTCCAATCAGCACACTTGTCATACAGATGGGGAGTAACCACAATGATCCACATCCAGCCACGAGGGCACAGAGTGCCATCAATGGTGTCCTCGTCTCCATGTCATCAATCACCATACCTTCATGCCTCTACGCCTCCACGCCCCCCTGCCCCCATGCTCCCACGCCCCCCACGCCCCCATGCTCCCACGCCCCCACGCCCCCATGCACCATGCCCCCACGCCCCCATGCACCATGCCCCACGCCCCCATGCACCATGCCCCCACGCCCCCATGCACCATGCCCCACCCCCCCAATTGCACTCACGTCGGACAGCTCCACCTCGCGGCCCTGCAGGTGCGCCAGCTTGCGCTCGTGCGGGTCCACAAAGGCCTGGAGGGGGGATAGTACGGGCAGCAGGGGGAGTGGGACGGCGGAATGGATGGGGAGCGCGGCACTTGAAAGGAGTGGCACTTAAATGCGCTTGATAAGCGCATGAGAGCGTGCACGGCGTCATGCATGTGGAGGTCCACTGAAGCACATGGAGACAATTGCTCCGCACACGCCAGACATACCAACACCTGGTGAACTCCAATGGAGTGGCAAGTGAGCATGGCCATACCATCATGCATACAAATCAGTGCACCCACCCCATACCATAACACACACACCACAGCCCCCGCTGAGTGAAGGCTATGACATGCAGTCAGTGCACACACCACAGCCTGCACAGCCTTTACCGAGCGCATGGGCGTGAGGCGAGCACACAGTCATGCATCTACCGATATTTATTGATCCTGTGTGCATGCACATGCATCCCATGCCATGTAGCAGGCGAGGCGGCACGCACGGCAGTCTTGGTGGGGTCCCATTGGAAGTGCGTGGTGAACATGGGCGGCTCAAAGCCCTCCACCACGCGGATGATGGTCACCTCCTTGGACCGCCCCTCGCTGCCCGCCACTTGCTCCACGTACCGCTGCCAGAGGGACAGGGGGGGAAGAGAGGGCGGGAGGGGCAGGGGGACAGTGCCACGGGGGAGGGGGAAGTGCCAGGAGGCAGGGGGGGAGTGCCAGAGGGCAGGGAAGGAGTGAAGGGGGGAGGGGCGGGGAGAGTTCCGTGAAAGAGTTTTGCTGAGGGGGTTGGTGATTGACAAGCGAGACCAAAGGAGCAATCATCAGGAAAAGACAGGTGGAGAGACCACATCAGCACGAGCACAACCGTGGGCCCTTTGCAGAGCCCACAGCCACACACGAGCACATTCCAATCCAACAGCCTCAACACACAGCACACAGCGCACAGCTCACCCACGCACCTGCGCGTACTCAAAGGCGTCCTTCTTGTCCTTGTCGGGCAGGTTGACGCCCACCCACACGTACACCTCGCTGTGCGTGTCCAGCAGCATCACATCCTCGCTGATCAGATCCTCCTGCTCGTAGTTGGGCACCTCCACCACCTGCCCGCACCGGAGGGGAAGGGAGGGGAGGGAGGGGAGGGAGGGGAGGGGAGGGAGGGGAGGGGAGGGGAGGGAGGGGAGGGGGAGGGGGCGGGGAGGGCAGGGGAGGAAAGATAGAAGGCTTATCACATGCACTATTGCACACTCATGTGCACATCTATGCATGCAATGCGATTTAAGGTTGGAGATGGCGGCGCAGGCACATTAGAAGGGGACTTGCAGACAGCCTCAAAGCCCGCGTGGCTACTTGTGCTCGTGGATGGAAGGGGAGCTTACCTTGGCGGCGGCTGTAACCGTGACGTAACGAGAAGCGTTTATACCATGTTGCATATGGCAGACATGGCACATGGTACACAGGACACACACGCACGTGGCACATTGTACACAGGACACACACGCACGTGGCACATTGTACATAGGACACACACGCACGTGGCACATTGTACATAGGATACACACGCACGTGGCACATTGTACATAGGACACACACGCACGTGGCACATGGTACATAGGACACACACGCACGTGGCACATGGTACACAGGACACACACGCACGTGGCACATTGCACATTCACACACACAAACACACACACATGGAAGGGGGAAGGGTTTAGGTGGGTGAAAAACAAAGATGCATGCATAATTTAGAAGGTGCCCTGGACGAAAGCCAGGAAGAGGGGAGGAAGCTAAGTGGCAAAAGACGCTGGGCGTGTCATGCGTCCTGCGTCTGGACGCAGCGTCCGGACGCAGGGACGCTGGACGCGCGTCCAGACGCAGGACGCACGGCAGAATTTTTTTCGGGCTGACCGGATTTTTTTTTTTTTCCCGATCGCGAAGTTGGCATTCGCGATTTCGACGCGAATGTCAATGTCGCGAAATTTCGACCCCCCGGACCCATTTCGACCATCAAAAACAGCCCACACACAATTCTCCTTCGTAAACCCTTGAGGGTTTAGCTACCTTTCGCTCCATAGTGCTACCTTTCGCTCCATAGCTATATTTTCGCCTCACATGTGTGATACGTCGTCCTCCCCCCCCTTCCCATGCCCTATAACGTGTTTTTTTGGCTGCCCCGGGGTTTTTTTTGCCCTGCCCGGGCCTGCGTCTTTTGCTGCGTCTCAAAGGCCCACATCATGCGTCCTGCGTCTAAGACGCTGCGTCTGGACGCACTCGTCTTAGACGCAGGACGCGTCTTTTGCCACTAAGGAAGGAAGGAGAGGAGGAGGGAGAGGAGGGAGGGGAGGAGGGAGGGGAGGAATGCAGAGAGGAGGGAATAGGAAGGAAGGAGGGGAGGAGGGAAGTATGGAGAGACGTGGGGGATGGGAAAGGGAGGAGAGAGGAGGGAGATGGGAGGGGTGCAAGGGTGGAGGTGACGGGAGGGTAGGGCAAGCTGTTCAAGAAGATAGAGACTTTCAAATGACCATTTGACAATTCTCATAAGTGGCTCCAGTTAGCACTCTCAGTCCTCTTCCCCATCTTCCATGTCGCCCATTCTCCCTCCATGCATCCCCCTCTCACAATGATCCATTACACTCTCAACCCCAGAACCTGCACCACCTCCCAACCGTGCAGGTTTCCCACCCTTCCCTTTCTCCCCACGCCAGACTACCCTGCAGCGCCTCGATAGTACGCGCACCGCCTCGCTATAGTCACGCGCACCGCCTCGCTATAGTCACGCGGACCGCCTCGCTTTAGTCACCTGCAGTGCCGGTGTAGTGGAAGAGGCGCGCGTCCCTCTCCGCCTCGCGCTGCTCGCGCTGGGCGGGGTAGTCCCCCTTGGCGCCCAGGTGCCCCCAGAACACTGATGTCTCCTTCCCCTCCGCCAGCTGCTTCAGTGCCACCCCGGGCTGTGCCACGGAGGGGGGAAGGGCGAGGGGGGTAAGGGGGGAGGGGAGGTAAGGGGGGAGGGGGGGTAAGGGGGATAAGAGGGGAGAAGGGGTAAGGGGGGAGGCTGGAAAGGGGGAGGGAGGATGAAGGGCGCCGGGCAGGCAGAGGCTGGAAAGAGCGGCATAAAGAGCGCCCAGGTGCCCCCAAAACACCGACGTCTCCTTGCCCTCCGCCAGCTGCTTCAGTGCTACCCCGGGCTGTTCGGGGCAGGGGGGAGGGAGGTTATGGGGGGAGGAGGGATGAAGAAGGACGCCGGGAAGGCTGGGGCTGGAAAGGATGATCCAAAGGGAGTGGCTGGCTTGTTGGATTTGCCTGTGCAGCGCGAACGCCCACCCCCCATCCATCACCACGCCTTCATGGGGCAGCTTTTCATCGCATCGACCAACCCTCTAATGTGTGCAAACCTCATTTTCATTTTGCAGGGCGGCGTACAAATACTATGGACCCGAAGAAAAACTAAATTCTGGCCTCACAGATGACCAGAAAAAGGAGCTCGATGCGCAGTCAGTTGCTCAGTTCTTGGCCTCCGCAACTCAGCAACTGACTGCGCATCGAGCTTTTTTTTTCTGGTCATCTGTGATGCCAGAATTCAGTTTCTCTTCGGGTCCATAGTAATTGTAAGCCGCCCTGCAAAAGGAGAACAAGGTTCGCACACATTAGAGGGCTGGTTGATGCGATGAAGAGCTGCCCCATGCAATATTGCATCAGGGTGGCATTGGAGTATCTGGCAGACGCATGCGGGAAGGTCGTGCAGACTCAAAGTGACTTGCTCAGGGTTAAAGCCCAAAACCTGAATTGCTCAACGCAAGTCAACGCGGGGCAAAACTGTGGGCTGCAAGAGGCAAACTGTGCACAGTTTGCCTTCGTTTTTTGTAATTCGGGTCTTGGGCTTTAAGCAGACTTTCAAAGGCAGAGCCACCTTCACAGGATGGTGACACCTTCACAGGATGGTGACACCTTCACCGGATGGTGACACCTTCACCGGATGGTGACACCTTCACCGGATGGTGACACCTTCACACGCATGGCAGCACCTTCACAGGCATGGGTCTACTTTCACACGCACGGGTGCACCTTCACAGGCATGGCGGGGGTACCTTGAAGATTTCAGCAGCGGTGGTGGCGGCGGCCTTGTCGGCCTCGGAGCTGTTCTTGCCCACCCACAGGAACGGGTTGGAGGGCGTCTGCAGCAGCATGCACTCCGATGAGTTGAGCGACCTCGGCACCTGCCGTGGTGTGGTGTGGTGGGGTGGGGTGGGGTGTGGGCGTGGTGTGGTGTGGTGTGGTGGTTGTGTGGGTGTGGAGAATCATAGAAACCCACATGCAGCGGAGACACATGAGCACACATGCATGGTCATTTGTGCATGCACACACACACACATGCACACACAAATGCATGGACATGGGTGCACACACACATGCTCATGCCACATAGGTGGAATCGCGAATTCAATCCAATTCCTACACAAACGAACCCTCAGGAAAAGTCAACTTGTAACAATACCTAACCAAACAAGAAACGAGACGGACCATAAGCTTTGTCCATGCATACCAAACAAACACACTTCACGCAGACGTGGTGTGGTGTGGGCGGTAAAGAGGCTACATGTTTGTGCCAGAGCACGTTGGAGCAGTGGTATGAAGCTCGGTGAGACTGCTTGGGAGGCCTGCTTGCCCTGGTGCTCTCACCGTGTCCATTTGAACGGCCAGGATGAGCCCGTTGTCACGCGCCCGCACTCGGAAGAGAGCAATGCCCGCCGCGTCATACGCCTCTGCTGCCTTGCCCTGCCGTGGGGGGGGGGGGGGGAGGGATGGGGAGACAACCCCAGGGAGGGGGAGAGAGGGGTGAGCGTGTGGGGCGAGAGGAGCGAAAAGGAGGAAGAGAGGGTGGAAGGGGAAGAGGAAACAACGATGGGGAAAGTGGAAGGAGAGGCGATGTGCCGTGACATGGAGGGTGAGGGACAGAGGTGGTGAGAGGGAAGAAGGATGAGAGAGAAGGGGATGGACGGGAGAGGGGGTGGTGAAGCAAGTTAAAGTGATAATCACAAGGCAACACTCAGCAGCAAAGACATGAGGACACAAGTGATGAGCGAGGCGAGGCTGCCTGCCAACACACCGCATACTGACACACAGAGGGCACGGAGAGGCATTGAGGCAGAGAGGAGGGGCAGCGCACCTTGAGGAAGAGCAGGTGGTTCTTGAAGAGCGAGAGGAACTGCTCTGGCTCCCTGCCCTGCACCACCCGCACCTGAGCCACACAGAGGACAGGGCAGAGGGTGGGGCATAGAGTGGGGAGTAGGGTGGGGCATAGGGGGGGAGAGGAAAAGAAAGAGGGGGCACGCTGACAAAAGCAATTGTACTGTGAGACTGGGCACTGTGACAGTTGACGGACACGGCCAAGCGCGGCACGCAGCATGAGGGAGCGGGGCGGGCAGGGGTGCTCACCAGAGTGACGTTGCCTCTGAGCCCATCCATGGTCCGCACTGCCAGCGCCGTGGCTGCCGTGCGATCCGCCTGGTTGGAGGGAGGGAGTGGGCGGAGAGAGTGCGGGGGAGAGCAAGGGGGGGGGATGAGTGAGGGAGGAGCGGGAGGGGGAGAGTGAGGAGAGAGCAGTGGGGGGAGAGAGTGCGATGGTAGCAGAGGGAGAAGAGAGGCGGTGTGAACATGAAGCAATGGGGGTAATTGGGGTGTTGACTAATAACCTATAGTTGGCCTTGCCGCGTGGGTTGGCTAAGACATGAGCACATGCTTGTGACGGGCATGCACAGCACAGCACAGGCAGGGCGCAGCAGCCAGACTGCGAGCAAGGGGCGATGGTGGGAGTGCAGTGCACCAAGGGCCTGGCCCTGGCGACAGGTCTTATCTCCATGCTCCCCAATGGGGAGGACGTTGCCAGGCGAGCAGAGAGTCGCAGGGGGTTGGCTTACAGCAGAGGTGTCTTTGCCCATCCAGAGGAAGAGCAGGTACTCGTGCTTGCGGTCGCGGATGGACGTGTGCTGCACCAGGTAGCTCTCCCCCGCGTGGAACTTCCCCACCTCCTCCGCTGCCACCGCCGCCTTGCTGCTCCCCGCCACCCTCCACGCCTGTTGGTGCCGGCGCGGAGGCAGGGAGGAGAGGAGGAGGGGAGGCGGCAGGACGGGAGGAGAAGGGGAGGAGAGGAAGGGGAGGAGGGGAGGCGGGCGGAGGGGAGAAGGGGACGGGGGGAGGATGTGAGGCGGGGAGGAATGGAGGCCGGGAGGTGGGGAGGAGAGGAGGAGGGGAGGAGGGGGGCGTGGAGGAGGAGAGGCGGGGAAGAGGGAAGGAGGGGAGGACAGTAAACGGGGAGGAGAGGAGAAAAAAAAAAGAGGTGATGGAGGGACGAGGGACGAGGGGCGCAAGGTAAGAAATGGGGGGGGTGAGGAGGGGAAGACGGGAGGAAGGGGGGGGATGAGGTGAGGCTAGGAGAAAAGGGAAGAAGGGGGGGAAGTCAGTGAGGGAGGACGAGGTAGGGGAGGAAGACTATGGTTGGAAGGGGAGATGGGAGTGGAAATGAAGGGGTGGGAAGTGGAAAGGGAGGAGAGAATGGGGGGAAGGGTGGCAGACCAGCAGTTCGATGTGAGCAGCAATGGGAGAAGCAGCAATGGTGTGTGGCGCATGCAACACAATGCATCCCCCCAACCCCCCCCCTCCCCCCTCCTCCCTCGCCCCCAACATGCTGAACCCCCCCTCTCTCTCTCCCACACCTTGAGGTCGCCCGGCGTCTCGGCCAGCGGCGGGTGCTCGTCGCTGCCACCTGCAGCGCCCTTGGGGGCCGCCTTGTCCACCACGCCACTCTGCTTCAGCATCGCTGCCAGAGGGGGGCGGGCGGAGGGTGGGCGTGAGGAACGTGATGGGGGGGGAGTGGAGGAAGAAGGGTAAGGGAACCCATCCACCCTCCCCATACTGCACTCGCCACCACCCTGCCTGCCCATCGTTTCACCCCAAAGTCCGCCCCGTCACCCTGTCCAGCCTTCGGCCCACCTCCCCCACCCATCCATCCGCCCACCCACAACCCCGCTTACCCTTCCTGGCATGTTCCGTACCTGAGCCTGTCCCTCTCCTCTCATTCCCTTTATCTCATGCTCCACCGCCACGCCACTCTCTCCCTAGGTCCCCTTCCCACCAGCATACTCGCCCCTCTCGCCCAACCCATACTCGCCCCTCCCGCCCAGCCCATACTCGCCCCTCCCGCACAGCCCATACTCGCCCCTCCCGCCCAGCCCATACTCGCCCCTCCCGCCCAGCCCATACTCGCCCCTCCCGCCCAGCCCATACTCGCCCCTCCCGCCCAGCCCATACTCGCCCCGCTCACCCTCAACCCAAGCCCCTACCTTTGAGCTTGTTGCCGCCCTCCCCACCGCCCAGCACGGGCACGACGGGCCAATCAGAGAAGCAGGCCTTGAAGGCGGGCAGCTCGAAGCGCTCTGGCATGCGCACCACCCGCACTGAGGGGGGCTTCTTTCCCACCACCAGCTGCGTCTGATGGGGGGACGGGGGGAAGAAGGGGCGCGAGGAGGTGGCATGAGGGGAGGAGAGGAAGGGGAAGGAGGGATTAGGAAGGATAAAGTGCAGCACGCACCACGCGCACCGAGGGGGGCTTCTTTCCCACCACCAGCTGCGTCTGATGGGCGGACGGGGGGGAAGGGGCGCGAGGAGGTGGCATGAGGGGAGGAGAGCAGGGGAAGGAGGGATTTGAAGGACAAAGTGCAGCACGCACCACGCGCACAGAGGGGGGCTTCTTGCCTACCACCAGCTGCGTGTGATGCCTGCCGCCATAACGCGGTTCGAGGGGAGGGAGGGGCACGAGGACGTGGCATGAGGGGAGGAGAGCAAGGGGAAGGAGGATCAGGAAGGAAAATGTAGGGAGAGAACGAGGGGAGATGGGAGGTGGGAAGGACCGGGGTTTGTCGAGCTGCAGAGGAAGGATCGCTTCGAATTATGATTCAGGGTTAAGCTTCAGCAGGGAGGGTGGGGGATGAGTTGCTGAGTTGCTGACCCTAAGCAGACGCTCATTTACTTGCTCATTCTCTTTCTTCCCCCTCCATAGCTTCATACCCTTCACCTCCCTTCAGCTTTCCCCAACCCCCACTATCCGTCCCCAGTCCTCAACCATCCATACCCCACCCTCCCCCTTCTATCCCCGGCCCCCCTTCACTGTTCCCCGTCCTCCCCCCCGTCCCCCATCCTCCCCATTTGGCCTCCCTCTCCCTCCCTCCCCCTCGCACCCCCTCCCCCTTTCCGCCTTCCTTCCCCCCTCCCGCCCCCCCCCGCCTCGCAGGGGCGCGCAGGGCGAGCAGGCGCACCTCAGCGGCGATGCAGGCGGCGCGGCGTTCATCGAGGGAGGAGATGCGGCCGAACCAGACGAAGACGGTGGGGCCCATGTCCACCAGGTAACACTTGTTGCCCTCCAGCTGCAGCTTCTTCACCGCCCCCGCGCCCACCTCCTGCAGCCCGTCGCCCGACACCCTGTGTGTGCACAAAGGGGAGGGGGAGGGGGAGGGGGCGGGGGCGGGGAGGAAGGGACGAGGGTGGGCGAAAACAACAATTGAGATGCGGCTTGGGAAGAAGAAAGGGCGGAGATTGGCAAGGAGTAGAGGGGGCGAGAGGTGGAATGGAAGGGTTGGGTTGGGGAAACGGGAAGCAGCGAAGAGAGTAGAGTGCTTGAAGAAAAGCGTGTAAGGCTGAGGAATTTGATCTGGACAGGGATCAATGTGGCACAGATGCAAGTGCGGACGTGGTATGCAAGGGGCGTGCACACAGGGGCCATGCATAGACGCAGGTGAGCGAGGGGGCAGGGTGAAGAGCACCCCGTGAAGCACAGCAACAACGCACAGCGCAGCAGCACATCGACGAGTGGGGCGATCGCGAGCGCACGTGCTACCACTGGTGCACTCAGCAGTGCGGCACGAGTGCTGGCATGCACAGCAGTAAAACTAAGTCGGATGTGCTTTGAGCAGTGGCGGGGGGAAGGGGACACTGAACAGTGGACGGGAAGAGTGGGGGGGAAGGGTGGCGGGGAGGAAGGGGGCTGATCAGCGGCGCAGAGGGGTGTGGGGGGGGTGGGGCGCACTGACGAGTAGAGCGTGGGCGGCGTGGGCTTGACCTCAACGTCGTCCTCGCCTTGGCTCTTCTTGGCGATGGGCGCGAAGCCCCCAAACATGTCCCAAAACTCGTTCGACTCCGGATCGTCCAGCTTCCCGTCGTCTGGTGGTGGGGGGAGAGAAGGGGAGAGTAGGAGGGGGAAGAGGGGGTGATGGGGGAGGTGGAGGGGAGATAAGGGAGGGAAGGCGAGTGGAGAGAGATGAGGGGAGAGATGGGAGAGACGAGCAGGAGAGGGGAAAGGTGCGACGGGAGGGTAGAGGACAGACGAAAGGAGAGGACGGATGAGAGACGGAAAGCAGAAGGGTCAGAGAGTCAGAGACGAAGCGGATGATAGGGACAGAAAGGAACGCCATGATGGGCGAGAATAACATTCAGTGCACCCTTACGGTGCCCCCTCAGCAGAGCTGTGGCAGCTTTCGTTTGCCATTTTTGACGCTGATCGAGGTTTCGTGTGACAGCACTAGTCTCCAATCCGACCTCGTGTTCAGCACTCGACAGTTGAGGGCGCAGCGAGGGCACTGACCGATGATGGCGATGGGGGCTTTCCCGCCGTACTGGGTGTCCTGCAGCAGCTGCATCACCTCCATGCCCTTCACACGCTCCTGCTTGCTGGCGTTGGCGCCCGTGAACTGGAACAGCTTGCTGCGCGTGTCCAGCACAAATATCTCCGAGTGCGACAGCGACGACCGCGCCACCGCCACCTGCAGGGCGCACGCAGGTAGGCGCGGGGCAAGGGAGAGGGGCGAAGGGAGAGGGGCGAAAGGAGAGGGGCGAAAGGAGAGGGGCGAGGGGGAGAGGGAAGAGGCGCAATCGGCGATGGGTGAAGGTCGAGGGGCGAGGGGTGAGGGGTGCGGGATGAAAGAGGGGAAGGACGAGGGCTTGAGGAGGGAAGGGATGGGAGGAAAGTGGAATGCAAGCTCGCATGGGCGCACGAGCTGTGCATGCCCCGCCGCTGCCCCACTGCCACCTGTCCCTTACCCTTCTCTACTCTCCCCTCTTGCGTCTGTACAGAGTGAAGGCGCAAGGTCCCCATTCTCTCGCCTTCTTACAGCCTGCCCTTTCCGTGCCTGCCCGTGCCGCACCTCGTACCTACGCTACTCTTGAGTCTCCTCGTCTGCGCCATTGCCGCCAGTAGCGGATATCAAAGGTGCGACGTATGCGCAGCACGAGCCTGGATGATTCTCGCGCTCCCTCTAGCCCTCCGCCGAGCCCTCGACCGGCTGCAGCGATCTGGATGCGAGCTTGCCAACGGGTGCAGTACCTCCGTTCCGCTCTAAGCGCCTCATGCGGACCACACCCCACCTGTCTGACGTGGACCACACCCCACCTGTCTGACGTGGATACAGCCGCACCTGTCTGACGTGGATACAGCCGCACCTGTCTGACGTGGATGAAGCCGCACCTGTCTGACGTGGATGAATCGGCGGCCCTTGACTTGCAGCAGGCGCGGCTGAGACGCCTCAGGGTCGGGGTGGCCCCAGGAGCCGGGAGTGGCGATGATGCAGGGGCGGAAGTAGGAGAGCAGCAGGTCCGACTCGTGGCCCTGCGTCTCGCGGTACTGCGCCGCCTTGCCGCCCAGCGCCGCGTCCAGATCCACCGTCTTTATCGCCGCCATCGCCGCGTCGTCCTGCGAGGATAGGCGCGCGAGAGAGAGCGGGGGGAGTGGGGAAGGGGAGGGAAGTGTGGGGGAAGGGGGGAGGGGGAGTGTGGTTTCAAGGCGATCAGCGACGCGTCCAGCTCCATCGGCTTTATCGGCGCCATCGCCGCGTCGCCCTCGGGAGGAGGGGGATGTAAGCGGACGTGAAAATGCGAGCCGCAGGGACGGGGGGACGACGAGAGTGGCAATGCAAGGCAATTGAGGGCGATAGGAGGTATCGGGTGGTTCGAAGGGCTCCATTCGTGGAGTTTCTCGAGAGTAGGGCTCTGATCTGACAGGGGCGTTCGCGAAGGTTTAGCGAAGATTTGTATGAAATGTTAAAGTTCGCGTAAACATTATCATGTTGTGGAGGAAGCGGCCAATTACGACGGTAAACAGCACATGCACGACATTGGGAAAAGAAAATGATGCCCAAGCCACGAATGGGAGACGGGCCGAGCAAACGCCGGTGCTGCTGAGCGCATGAAACTACTTGCTTGGCCCAAGAAGTCAAACCGCGTCACTTCTGGATGATGATAGAACGCTATCGAGCGACGAAAGGGGAGAGAGCGGATTCGAGATCAATAGAGTTCCCAAGGCGAAGCAGCTCACCTGAGTGGTGGACTTCCCCAGCCAATAGTGAATGGCGTACATGACCGCGCCGCCGTGCTTCGATCCAGACGTCTGTGCAATGGGAGACGGAAAACACGCAGATAATACGAATGCGATCACGAGGTGACACGGAAGAGCCGTATCGCAAGCAATGTTGACAACCGGAGGGAACACACGAATCAGGCACGCCCCATGTTCGCTCGTTCATCATCGATTCGCAAAGAATTCAGACCCGTGTTCTGTGGCTGTCTGTGCCGTTCCTTGACAAAGTTGCTTTGTCTATTATCATCGGAATCTGTCGCGCAGCTCGTCCCAACTTGAGCACAATATACTCGTGACTCGCGATAAAACTCGTCTCACCTTGAGCACGATGTACGCGTCCTTGGTGAAGAACTTGCCATGGTCCGCCTTGGGAACCGCTACCACCTGACCCTGATCCAGACGCCACACGTCCAGCCCTCTGCGCCGCCACGCAAACACCAGGCAACGGTGAGCAATGCTTGCAATGGATGCGATATATCGCTTCTTTCTTGTTTCTTTCCAAAGAAGCTGTACTGCAATTCAAAGCAATGACATTGTGGTGAAGTAACGAATTTTAGGTAAAGGAAGCTTACGGTTTGTTGCTGAGTCCCTGGAACGCGGGGTCGAGGTCTTTGACGGAGATCGACATGGCCGCTGTTGGCAGGGCACACGTATCTCACTGCCACGCAGGCGACAAATGGTAAGTAGCTCGCAGCTGGTAGGCCAATCTAAGGCTAGGCTTCTACCACCTTTCCTAGCCTACTAGCCACAAGTAATTTCTATGAAATGCTTGATGTCACTCAAATGTTTGCACTATTTGCGGGAATCAGGGATGAGGGATGGCAAGGGGGGAGGGAGAGTGTAGATTGGGACCAGCGGGAGCAAGGCACTGGAAAAATGAAATGGTTGTTGGATTGGGAGACGGGAGACGATTGGTGTTGGTGTGTTTTTGCTTGTGCCACACCAACAAGCTCTCTATGCTCGCTGCCCCTCCTCGAACCAGCCAACCAGAGGCAAGAGAAGCGCAAGTTAGGGGACAATGTGGGGCTGCCCGCACGAAAGCACCAAACCACCCTTGATGACCAACAAACCAGGGCAAAAGGTTTTCCAGTTTGATGCACGGCGCGCTGTGGAGGGAAGGAGCAGAGCAGAGTTTGGGCGGGATATGCAGGGTGCTCTCTGACACGGTGGGTTTGGGACATGGTCAGGTGGAACTTACAGAAGGTTCTTTGATTGAAAGTGAGATGCCCACTCTTATGAGTTATAAAACAGAGTTGTGTAGAATAACGAATAACGAGGCTATGACTCAATGAACTGATCACACAATGAAGGCACGTGCTAATATAGTGACTAGCCTAGCTGGGAGGGAACCTCGGGGTTGCGAGGTTGGGTGCAGGTTTGGCGATCGGAAAACCGAAGGCAACGCAGAGCAGCCTCGGAGTCGTAAATGCCGGCCGAACGTGCGAAGTCCGAAATGTCGGGGTTGTACGCGTAGCAGTCAACCCCGGTAAGGAAAATGGAAATTTCCGTACACTACCCCCCCCCCCCCCCCCCCCCCTTTAAGACAATCACCAAGAAGCAAGGATGCTTCCAGTGAGGCGGATGGCACCCAAATGTCGTCTTCACTAGTGTGGTCGGTCCAACGGACTAGAAAGTCCACGTGGCGACCAGATGCATCAAGCCGAACACGATGCGCCAATTTTTTCGACGGGACAGGACGAACTGTCGGGGCGGCATTCTGTCGAGCAATGTCCGTCGTGGCAAGCACGAACTTGCGAAGGAGGCTGACACGGAAGGCGTCGTGTACACGCCAGACGCCAGGTAGCAGTAGCTTCGCAGTGACAAGTGTCACCATCTGGATGATACGAAATGGCCCACAAAATCGTGGTCGTAGTTTCGACGAGCCGGGTAGGCGAATGTTTTTCGTGTCAAGTAGCACTAGTTGTCCAGACGTCATGGTGATTTCCCGTCGCAGGAGGTCCGTGTATTTTGGGGCTGTCGTGTTCGCCTTCCGAATTGCGCCAGCTGCCTTTTCACGGATTCCCTGGAGTTCCGTAACAAATGTTTGTGACCCCGGGACCGTGTTGTCGAGTGTAGTCGTGGTTGGTACCACCGCGTCCATCCCGTGAAAAAAAAAAAAAAAAAACGGGGAGTGATTAGTCGTGCTAGATGGGGTGTTGTTGAACGCGAACTCCAGCATGGCGAGCGAAGTTTCCCAGCGAGCAAGGTCGGGGCAGTTCTTGCGGATGAGCTGCTCCATCGTCTGATTGGTCCGCTCGGTTTGGCCGTCGGTTTGCGGGTGGTAGGCCGACGAGAACTGCAGTTTTGTGCCGTACTGCGCCCATGTCTCTTTCCAAAATTTCGAAGTGAACTTCGGGTCCCTGTTGCTGACGATCGCTGAAGGGATGTCATGTAGTCGCACAACGATTGAGATGAAGAGGTGCGCCGTCTCTTCGGCTGTGATTGTTATACGACACGGTGCGAAGTGCGCCATTTTCGTAAGGCGATCGACGACGACGAGCACCGCGTCGTTGCCGGACGGGCCAGCTGGCAGCACCGTGACGAAGTCCATCGTCACTTGTTGCCACGGTCGTTCGGGTGGCTCCAGGGGTTGCAGCAATCCAGCTGGCCGCTGTCGTGTCGATTTCATGGCCTGGCACACTCTGCATGAGGACACATAATGATGCACGTCGTTAAAAGAAGCAGGCCAATAATATTGACGATGCAACAGTTTCTGGGTTTTGTCAACCACGAAATGTCCGGAGAGATTAGAATCGTGGACCTCCTAGATAAGGAGTTCACGCAGCACTCGGTAAGCGGAAACCCAAATCCGGTCAGTTCCGGCTTCTAGGTAATAATTCCCTTTTTGCGTCGTCGCCTGCTGGTCATTCCCAGTCGTGAAGAACGGGTCCCTGATGTAGCCGTGGGCGAGTAGTCCTATAAGTAGCGGGTCCGAATGGGTGATGGGTACTGCAGCGAATTGAACTGTCGGGCAGGTAAGGGCGTCGGCGATGTTATTCGCCCCTTTCTTGTACATGATGTTGTAGGCGACTCCATGTGTTTGATCCACCGAATTTGTCGCAGGTTGAGGTTGGGCTGAGCTCGCAGGTACTGTAGGGACTTGTGGTCCGTTCGAACACTGACGTCGGCGTCCGTCATGTAGCAGCGCCACCGTTTGAACGCGTGAATAATGGCGAGCATCTCCTTGTCGTGTATCGGGTAGTTGCGCTCGGCTGCCTGCAGCTTGCGTGATTCAGAGGCGATCGGCTGCAGCCCGTTCCCAAAATCATGGAGGAGTACAGCACCGATGGCAAAATCTGAGGCGTCGGTGATGACATCGAACGGCTTCGATGGGTCGGCGATGCGCAAAACCGGAGGGGAAACGAGACAATTCTTCAGCTCCTGAAAAGCCGCCTCAGCCTCCTCTCCCCACACCAAATTTGGGTCCTTGTGCAGCAGGTCGGTTAGCGGGCCGGTTATCCCCGCCATATTCATGACAAAATGCCTGACGTAGTTCACGAACCCCAGAAAACTCTGAAGTTCCGTGACGTTAGTCTGGGACTTCCACTCCTGTATGGTATTGATTTTCGCCGGGTCGATTTTAATGCCGTCGCGGGAGATTACGTGCCCCAGAAACTCTAACTCCTGCTTAAAGAACTCGCACTTAGAGCCGTTGGTGATGAGGCGGTTGTCGTGTAGTCACTTGAACACTGCGTCGAGGTCTCGGAGATGTTGCTCACGTGTCCTGCTAAAAAACAGAATATTTTCCAAATAGACGATAACGCACTTGTCGAGGAGATCTCGGAAAACTCTGTTCATAGCCAGTTGAAAAGTCGAAGGCGCATTCGTGAGGCCGAACGTCATCACTTGGAACTCGTAACTTCCGTAGCGGGTTCGGAACGCGGTCTTATGACAGTCGTCGGCGAAGACCCGAATTTGGTGGTAACTGCCACGCAAGTCGATTTTCGAAAAGCAACGAGCGCCGCAAAGTTGATTGAGTAGGTCGTCGGTGCGTGGGATGGGATAGCGAGACTTTATAGTAACCTGGTTGAGCGCACGATAGTCGATGCACATGCGAAGCCCACCGTCCTTCTTCGGTGTAAACATGATCGAGACTGCGAAGGGAGATGTACTGGGTGTGATAAACCCTTTCTCCAATAGGCCATCAATTTGGGTTCGCAGCTCCTCGAGTCCCGGCTGGGTCAACCGCCACTGTGTACGAACAGTCGGATATGCGCCAGGCTCCAGCTGGACTTTGTGGTCCTCAGGGCGCTCGGGTGGCAGCCCAGGTGGCAGGTCGTCGGGAAGATGTCGGGGTACTGTAGAATCAGCTCCGCTAAATCAGGCGATACAGTTGCGCACAACTTCTCGATGTCGTTGCCCTCGGTGTCGGTTGCCAACTCGCGCAGACACACATCCAAGAGTTGCGCGCCTCGGTTGAAATATCGGGCAATAGTGATGGCTTTGACGCACGGGGCTTGGATGTAGTCCGGGGTTCATGTAGGTAATTCTACGAGCCCCTTGTGCTTGTTGATGCTGCACGATCCCGTCATCCAATCGCAGCCAATCACGTCCCAGCAGCACGTCGCAGCCGTCCAGTGTTGTCACGAGAAACTTCATGCTGAAGCTGGAATCGTTGCCGCATTCGATCCCCACCGTCCGTGTTTCTTCCAATCGCCAGAGGCGTCCGATCCACGAGGCAACCGTCGATTTCGTGCAGACACCTGTTGCAGCTTGCATTTTTTGCTGTCGCCAAGTTGAAGAGGCTATGGCTAGCCCCGCCATCAACGAACGTTTTCAGGTTATTTTCTAACACAATGTAGCGACCAGCACAGGGTGATCCACATGGTTATCCCCGTTATTCGGCCGAGTGCGATCGATTGCATAGATCGTAACCACGACTTGGTGGGGATGTTGGTGTTCGGGCGACGGAGCACAGTCGGTAAAGGGCCCGTTAATTACTGACTCTTCCCATTTCCCTGCTCCTTCCCGTCGTTCCTCTTTGCCGGCGTTTTCTCGGGGCAGTCTCTCATGTAGTGACCTGGCTTCCCACACTTATAACACAACCCCGGGAAGGGGCGGTCAGGTGCATGGACTCCGTTGATTGTGGCCCGTTGGGTCTGGCTGCGAAAACGGTTTCCCTCCCAAAAACATGCCCTCGCCCACTGCATCAATGCATCTGTAGACTCGGCCAACCGTACAGCTTCCAGGAACGAAGTCGGGCGGCATCGGCGCACCTCATACTGTATCTCATATTTCAGGCCGTTGATGTATTTATCCAACCGCTCCGGCTCCACCATGTCGTCCACTTGGTCGGCGAGTGCCATAAATGACGCCGTGTAGTCTTGAACAGAAGCCTGTCAAACTTATATGCTATAGTCTGTGTAGGCTGTAGTGGGGTAGTTCATATAGGGTACAACATTTCTAGGTTTCCTACTTGTACCCAAACTGCTTGCTAGTCAATCATTCCTTCGTTCCTATTCTGACATGGTATTCTGAGCAGGTTCCCTCCGTGGGAACGTTTTTTTTTGGGCCCACCACTGAAATTGTTTAGCCTACCCGAAGCGCGCTGTCGCGCCTGCCTCTCCTGCGCTGTCGCGCGCCTCTGCCCTGCTGTCGCGCTAGTCGCGACCCTGCCTGCCGCCCGTC